CCCACAAGCCCGGGGCGACGCGGGGCAGCTTTTCTCGCCCCAGGGGACGCAGACGGCGGGACCACGGCACGTCTGGGTGGTCCCGCCGCCCGCATCCTCCGGGGCAAGAAAAGCCCCATTCGTAAGTACGGATCCGACATAAGTCGGATCCGCGTAACTCAGGGACTGCCTGTAGTTATTAATGGTTCACAATCCTGCTGGAAAGGTATAACAAGTGGGGTTCCACAAGGGTCCGTTTTGGGACCGGCAGGAGGAATAACGGTAGTTCAAATTAGGAGCTTTAATTTGAACTACCTAGTCCATGCCACGTATAGCCGCGGGCAGGTAGTTTGAACTACGGGCATTTAAAAATGGCGCCCGCCTGGGAACATGCAAATGAAGCCGAGGATATTTAAATCCCGGGCTTCATTTGCAAGTTCGAATGCCTACATTAGCCACCCTAGTTCGAACTAGGGTGGCAGTGTAGACATACCCAGAGTGAGCAGGGAAATGGTGTGAGAAGAGTGCTACTGTCTGCATTGATAGAGGCTTTGAGCCACCAAAGGACCGGTGTGGGAAGTTAACCATAGTACATATAAGAACATAAGAATGGCCATACTGGGTCAGACTAAAGGTCTATCTAGCCCAGTATCCTGTCTTCCAACAATGGCCAATGCCAGATGCCCTTAGAGGGAGTGAACAGAACAGATAATAATCAAGTGATCCCTTCTCTGTCATCCATTTCCAGCCTCTGACAAACAGAGGTTAGGGATTCCATTTCTACCCATCCTGGCTAATAAATATTGATGGACCTAACCTCCATGAATTTATCTAGTTCTTTTTTGAACCCTGGTAAAGTCCTGGTCTTCACAACATCCTTTGGCAAGGAGTTCCACAGGTTGACTGTGTGCTGCATGAAGAAAAACTTCCTTTTGTTTCTTTTAAACCTGCTCCCTATTACAACCTGCAGGGAATGTGATCCTGCTTTCATGAGAGTGCTGATGTGTCCCCATCAATTAGCTCCTACCTCATAGCAAGGCCTATAAGGGAATGCGCATCTCAGAACCTCATTTGCATGGTGAAGGATTGGGTTTAATTTCACATCTCTTACAGCACACCAGTTCTCCACTCACACTGTCTACATATTTCCACCATATTGCCTGAGAGCCCTATTTTTGTAACCTGTGCATTGGCCAGTGACTGAGATAGTACACAAGTGAATAGAGATTGATTGGTGCTCAGAGCCAAGGGCTATGGATAAAGTCTTGGCTCAGTTGAAGACCATGGGAACTTTTTCATTAACTCCAGTGAATCAAGATTTCACCCCATGTCTATTGTTCAACCTCACTTGCACCCAGTGAATCTGCACTTGTATTCATGCAGGGTACGTCTAAACTGCACACTTATTTCAGAATAAGCTATTCCGGAAGAAATACTCTGAAATAGCTTATTTCAAAATAGCGCATGTACACTACGGGGAAGCCTTGAAATTAGTCTGAGGCAGGCTCTTCTAATGTGGATGCGCTACTTCAGTTTAGAGCCCCAGGAAGCAATAGGGAGTAGTTACTTTGAACGGCCCTGGTGAGGAGCTATTTCAAAATAGCAGCAGAGTGTCCACACTACCGCTATTTCGAAATATCAGTTTCAGAAGAGGCGTTATTCCTCATGGAATGAGGTTTACAGAAGTCGGAATAAGCCGTTCGTTATTTCAAATTTAATTCAAAATAATGGAATTGCTGTGTACACGCTCTCATTGTTATTCCGAAATAACGCTGCGGCGTAGGCGCACCCATAAAGTGCAAGTCTTTACGCACTCACCACACAGACACTTGCAGGAGCAAGGTGACAGTGATGTCTCAGTCTGCAGCTTGGTATTATTCTTGAACTTCTGCAATTAAGCATCTATCATCTGTGTGTTTTGAGGCAAAGCAACGCAGCAAGTTTCGGAGGAGAGACCCACATTGTGCTCCCTCCAGGAAAATTTAGGCTTCTCTTCTCTCTTTTGCTTGTTTTCCTTTAACCTACAACAAAAGCCATCCCAGGTGAAAGCACAGGTTTGCTCACTGTGGTGGAAATCCTCTTCCCAAAATAATAGATTTTGAAAATGCCTTTGTGTTGCTTGAACTCTTTCTGTTTTAAATCTGATTAATAACCTGTGACACATAAAAGCCTCAATTCAAATAAATAGCACATGCCGAGGTTTATATGAACCCGTTAAAATCTTTTATCTAAAAAAAAAAACCTAAGAAAATCTGGGGTGGAAATCTTTTTAGAACAATTCGCAACATCTATTCGTTCCTGAATGTCCTTCCAGCTGTGGATCCAGTCCTTACTCTTTGTTCCGTGCAGACAAATCTGGTGTGAAACATCTGTATGCGGACTAAAAAAAATTTTTTCATCAAAAGTCAATAGGATTTGTGGTGTATTAGCACCTGGTCCTTCCTAGCTACCTAGTGATCTATTGAAAGTGGGGAGAACACAGTAAGAAATAGGATGTTGTCCAGATGTGCTTTTGTGGGCCAGAAAAAATGCTTCCCAGTGCTGTGGAGGATGGATGTTCCATATAAGATGCAACTGAAATCATTTGGGGTGACATTATATTATAAACAAGATGGCACAATCTATGGTATAAATCAAGCCAGCGTCTGTGTGTCATCCTGGACCAGAGCAGCAATTCCAAATCAGCCAGTCACAGGTATTCGTCTCGCTTTCCCCCGCCCCCTCCCCGGAGATAGATGTGAATTGTATCAAGACTGATGAGTGTGAGTCCCAGTGTAAGTCATTGTGTGGCAGGAGCAGCTGGGAAATTGTATGTCAGCTGTGAAAATATTGCACTCATAGCTTCTTGGTGTGAAATTTGTCTCTTCAGAATGCTATTTTTGGTATAGTCAGCACTGAGAGTTCAATATAGACACATCTTTATGCTTTTAGAAAAAGATTATTGTGGCCACGGCATGCGGCTTTGGGTTGATTCTCCAAACAGATATCGCATGTTCTTTCTTTACCAATTTGAACTGTACTGTATTAATCTGATTCATTACAAGGCAAATGAAAAAAATCCAAAATTCATTTAGGAATATGTGCATG